TTTTGAATATAATGCTGCATTAGGCCCAGTCCAAAGTTTATTTTGCCCAGTTTTAATATTCCAAAAGTTTGAGGAGTAAGACCTACAAGGCAGTTCCCTTGAGATGGCAGCTCCGATTCCATTTTGAGGTGGCTTCGTTTATATTATTTTTCAAAGTCCCAAAAGCAGAGTTTCTGTGCTTCCTCCACATGGCATCAGGGCATGGTCACCCTCCCTGCACATCAGTGTTCACCAGCTGGGAAACCTCAGTGTCCATCCAGAGTTTCATTATGTGAGCACAATTGATTAAACTCAATTTCCAGCCCAATTCCCCTTCCCAAATATTTCCAAAGTTCCACGTCCTAACCCCCCTAATTCCATGGTCGTTTTTCTGGTGACTATCCTCCATCCTGAAGCTATCTATATGAAGCCCACAATGGGTGACCTCATTAGCATAACAAGGACACTCCTATCATTCAGGAAATTCCAAGGGATTTTAGGGGCTTCCAGCCTGGAACCCAGGACAAAAACCAGAAATATTCTTTATTATATCATGATTATGAGATACCTTAATTAACTTGTAGCTTCCCTGTGGAACACTTGATTTTCAAACCTCATTTAGTAATGGTAGGGACTTGGACACAAATCAACATACGACTTAAATTTGGACATTATTTGTAATGAGGGTTTCCCAAATTAAGGATTTGGCAAGTTATGACAAATGTCATTAAATTTACAAACTGATATCTATGTACTTAGCTCACTTTCCAAAAAGATTTGGGACTGTGAATAAGGCTTCTTTTAAAAATATTCCATTATAAGAAAGTATAATTTATCCAAACCATAGAAAATAGTCTAAGTGGAGGCAGTAGTATTGAGCTGAGACTCTGTAGGCTTAGATCCAAGTCTTAGCTCTGCCACAATGTGACTTGTCCCTTATCTCTGCTGCTTCATGCACCACAGCAAAAGCTGTTGAGATGATACCTGCAATGTCATGACTGCCAAAGTTACCTGTCAGTTCACACGACAATGACATCGTGTCTATTAAAGCTCCAAATAACTAACACGCTTAGAATATCTCCAATATATATGTGTTTTCATCAAGTTTTTAATATTGGAAGGCAATATAGCCACAGGGAATGTTTTCTCTTCACTATGTGGGGAAATGGGTTGTTAGCAATCCCAGTAGAGATTTTCCTTTGTTCTGCAGGTTTCCTATGTCTGTCTGCAGGGCTGATCAGCATATGGGGAACCGAAACTGTAACAAGTCCTTGTCTCATCTCTGAAGACTTGTAATTAACATGTCCTTTAGATGAGAACCTAAATACTAGCTGTTTTTCACTATCTGCATTAGGTATAACCCAGTAAAAACATTTTAAATCAAAGAAACAGGCCAGCTTGAATTAAAGAAAAGTCAAATAACCCAAAGTATATAAGGAATCATTAGCTGGAGTTATATTGGGGAATGTAAATAGGGGGAGAAATGGGTGGTTTTTACTTTTTATCCTAACTGCTCCGTACTGTCATTTGTTTTAATCCATGACTATACATTACATTTTTATATAAAAATAGTTAATAAAGAAATTAATTTAATTCACAGTAAATTAAATTTTTATTAATTTTAAATACATGGTTAACTGGGTATCAAAGTTGTAGAAAATGACTCATTTTAAAGAGCAAGTTGCAAATGATGAGCCACCATCCTTAAAGATTCTGTTTTTAAAAACACTCAAATATCACCTTTTGTAATAGAGCAAAGGTAAGCTTCTGCCTATTCCAAAATGAGTTATATCAAAATTGATTTAGTGTGTTACAAATTTATAAATTTATGGTAAGAAAAATGGATGCTTTGTTGCTGGTTTTCTTCCAGGCTGACCTTCAATCTCATGATAATATGGAAGTGAGCCTGAGTCCTTCTGTTAGGTATTTAGGCATGAGGGACTGGAGCCAAGGCCCAGCTCTGTAACCATAGAAACTTCCCTTGAAGACTCTTCTTAAGGACCTCCCAGAAATACCTCTCTTTAAGGGTTATAAATTATCCCAAATCCTAGAGCACAAAGGCCATAAAAGCTGCCGGCCTAAACTAGATACAAACGCATATGCGGAAAGTACTACCCCTAACTTCAGCCTCATTATACCATCACTATAATCTCATGACTATACCTGGAAGTTCATGAATCTAATTATAACAGACTGAATTCTCGGTAAGCACATGCACAGTAGCAAAGCTATATTGCAGCCAGGTTATCAGTCAAGGAGACCTCACATACTGATCATCTAGGGCCTCCCATCACGGCCCAAATATAAACAGACCTTCCCATTTCTGCATTGTTACATTGTTCCTGGCTGGAAATCCACTCCTTCCTTTGGGGTGTACTATCTTATCTCTTCACCTCCTAACTTCCACAGGGCTGCAGCTTTCCTTAGCACGGCCTGTCTCCTTCTAAAATGTACTTTCAATAAATCTTACTTTTTCCCAATCTCGCCGACCTGTAATTCTTTACTGCGTCAGCAGGGAAGAACCAAGGAACAATACACAATGCCACCATCTACTATCCTCCTCCTTTTCTCTCACGCCACTGGAGCGACCACCCCAGCAGTGACACTTCTATTAATGCTTATGTGCACAGACTAGGTGGGTGGAGGCTGGGGATAGGAAAGGTGAGCCTAAAAATAGAAACATAACTATACCCTATTCATTTTGCAACTCCACTATTCTGAGCTAAGGAAATATTCTTTCCCAACCCAAATGAATTTTATCCTAGGTGAGATGAAACCCAAACATCTAAAAGTCCAGTTCTTAGTCCTATGCATCTGTCTCAATCATTAGTGCTTATTTGTGGTTTTTGTTTGGTCTCTTATATAGAGAAACTATGAATTTTCTACACTATTTCTACATTACAGGGTGGTAGACTTGTATGCTTACAGCCGGTTGAATATACCTTATATCCCCAGAGAAGTGGCATAGCCTAGTTACCACAAAACCTAGAGCCAAGCTGCCTTAGCTCAAGGTCAGACTCTGCTACTAACTAGCTTTGTGAATTTGGGCAAATAGCCCATTTCTACACTTCATTTCCCCATCAATGAAACGGACATACTAGAATGAGGAGGGGAGTTGGGAGAATTAAACAGCTTCATTTTATAAAGTTCTTTAAAACTTGCCTGGCATACATGGTAAGCTTCCTGGAGGTATTAACTGTTCTCGTACAGCCAAAGAAAATCCTCAGCCAGGTTTAGAGTCTCAGTGCAAACTCAGCATGAAGCTGTAGCCTTGAACTGCTGACTACAACCAAATTATGGCCTCTTGAATGCAAACCTGTTATAGATTGAATGTGTCACCCAAAATTCATGTTGAAACTTAATCCCCAAGGTGATTAGGTATTAGGAGGTAGAGCCTTTGGGAGGTGATTATGTCGTGAAGGCAGAGACCTCATGAACGGGATTAGTGCCCTTATGAGACTCCAGAGGACTCCTTTGCTCCTTCTGCCCACGTGAGGACAAAGCAAATAGACAACCGCCTATGAACCAGGAAGCTGGCTCTCACCAGATACCAAATTTGCCAGCTCCTTCATCTTGAACTTCTCAGCTTCTACAACTGTGAGAAATAAGTTTCTGTTGTTTATAAGCCATCTAGTCTATGGTGTCGATATAGCAACCCAAATGGACTAAATAAAACTCATAGATCACATTTATCAATAATGTAAACTTCTAGACAGATCTCAAAGATGCTCATTTCTATTCCTGGACTATTAAAGTTTCCTAGAAACCCAGAAGAGTATTCATATAGGTACTTCTAGGTTCTTTGATCACAACAGCATAAAGTTGGGTTTTAAAAAAATCTTATATGATCCTACTTCACTGGTTAACTTCATTCTAAGTCAGGCTGGTTTTCGCTAAAACTTTGGTCAGAATAGATATGACCTAGAGTAATGTTTCTCAAAACAGAATGTCATGAGCATGCTTTAAAATGATCTATTTTAACATTTCAAGTGCTCGCATAACCTCTGACCAATTATTTCCAAAGGCTGTATTCTACCTCATGAGATAGTCAATGAAATGTTTAAAATGACTATTAGAAAGTTCTCTAGGCTGAACTAAACTTCATTTCCTATTCTTTTGCTCTTCGGGGTTTCACAGAATAAAGTCATTGGTATACTGATAATGCTTAGAATATTTAAAGTCAGTTAGATTCTTCTAGGGATTATGTACTTGAGTCAACTTATAAGGTAAAACTTTCTTATAATCAAATTTTCTCTTGAAGATCTCTTTAATTGCTCACAAAGTAAAATCCTAATAAAGCCGATTTTACCTCCAGGATTGGAATAGACTGTTCTTTTGGCTGGGTTGCAGATAAAGCGGTTAGCTGGCAGTTAGGGGTCATGTTGTATGAAAAATACTTACCTCTATTCACTTGGCATAAATGTATGTTGTTGAAATTACCCATTTGATGCAATATTACAAAATGTTTCTTCAGTGTTTTCCATTAAAAAAAAAACCACTTACTGAGTACATTCAACATGCCAGGCATTGTGCAAGGATGGGGGCATTTGTCACTTATTCATCAGTAAATGTGGACAATTTGTTAACTGAATGGGAAAGCCATTTCCTGAAATAAAGATAACATTTAAAGAGAAAATTAAGAAGAAAAAAGTACAACATGAAAGTGACGTTCTTCAGAGGAAAAAAGGCGGATAGCGATGCAAACAACTCTACTGCTATATCTTGAAAAACAAGTTTACAAGTGTCATTTTCCAGTCTTCTGATATTAAATATTTCATGAAAATTTGACTCATCATTGAAGGAACAATGGTTTGCAGCAAATTCCCAGAGTATTTACTTTTAGGGTTAACTTACAAGAAACTCCAAATACCATTTGTTTAGCAAAATAAAAATAATTTTTCAGTAGGAAAAATGGCAAAGATATCTTCACATGAACAGCTCAATGAATCCTTTCAAGATATATACTTCTAAGGAAAGAAGTCATTTTAGAAACAGACACTAGACTAATCTAGTCCTTTGGATATACTGAAAAACATTTTATTAGTTGTCATAAATGAAAAGCAATAACAAAAAAACCCAGGAGCAAGCATAATGGGATATTCTCAAGAGAGCATTGGTGGACAATTACATCAAGGATTCCCACATCTCTTTGCCATAAGAGGTAAATTTTGTTAAAATAAAGATCAAAAGCAGCCTTGATGAGGAAATTAATTCATTACTGTCCAATACTTGATCGATACTGAAGAAAATGGAAAAAGGCATTCTCCACACCTTTCTGAAGATCGGTGTGGATAGGTAGGGTTTAAGGTAGATGCTGTGTGCAGGAGCCAGACTGATTTTTTTTTTTTTTTTTTAAGCTACCTTCTCTGCAAGTTGATTCCTCCATCACTGGTGTCATTTGAAGAGCAGAAAGGATAATGTGGAAAAGTACTCAATCTTTTAAAATCTTACTAACTGCCATTTACTTCATGACCCTGAACAGCCATCAACCTTCATTTTCTTATCTGTACATTAGGGCTATATGGCTAGTAACTTTAAGGGATAGGAAAGAGCTCAACTAAATTGCAACTTCTAAAAGCATTGTGTGAACCGTAAAACACAATACAGGTAAAATGTATAAAGGACTACAGAGATTTAGACAATTCAGAGGAAAAAAATCTAGCGTGAACTTTTTATTTTGACAAAACAAACTACAAGTTTTACATTCTAAACTCTCAAAGTTTCACTTATATAAAAAATAAGAGACAAGGCATCCTGGACTCCAAGATTTCAGGCATTAATAAAATAGTACCAGCTTTTCAAATCATACAAGCTTAGCTGCATTTTATATACTGTAAAACTGAGGAGAATTGGGACATACATTCACTGGTTTAAAGCGTACCGATAAGAAACACATGAACGTACTTGGGTTTTCTAACCACACAGCTTCATATCAATAAACATCTAAGCAACTGATATACTTTCCATTAATAGTAAGTATAACTCCACAAATGTCAAATTACACAAATCATTTGCTCTGTATAATCTCAATTTAGAAATTGAAAAATAAGAGAAATATAGAGTTAAGCAGCTGAAAATGCTACACGAGCACATCATAGCAAGGAATGCTAAAGAAGTTCCTCTTGGGAATGATTTTTAAAAATTTAAAGTATATTTTATTGGAAAAGTTAAAACCTTTAATGTGAAAAGCAAGTTAAATTAAGTATTGGCCCAATCTCTAAAGATCTAGTAAATTATAGGTTTTGTGCAATTAATTAGTAACATACACATTTAAGAGAGTAATAATACTGATTGTGTAATAGAATACTTAGATGGTTCTGAAGTATCTACTCTCTATCACTTTAGTTTTACATGTCTATGAAAGGTAAAGATTCCTCGGTGGAGAGTTATAGCTTATTCTGTAGTAGATATAGGTAATGTACATATGATTCAGAACAAATGGATGCTTTCACCTTCAGGGAACCTATTTTTAATTTATACAAAATTAGTTTTTCACCCATATGTATGGATAAAAGTGCTTCTCGAATGTACATGACCCATTTCCATAATCCTAAAACAAAATGAAGGCACATAAATGGATAATAGTTTATATATTTTATGTGAATATTTTTCATTACTCTTTAAACAAATTCGATTACTATCTAAAGAGGTACGATAAACTTGTTAAAATTTCTGCAACTTGGGAAATGAAAGATCTAAGGCCTCTCTAAAGACTGCAGTTCCGTGCCATTCACATATTGGTTCATTCACTCTGCAAGCTGTTAAGTCATTCAATCTCTCTATAGGCTGCAAAGTACTTCTGTTTCAGTAATCATGAGAACAGAAAGACTAAGGGAGAGGACTTGTTGAAATCAGTTTCCCACAAAAGTTGTTTTGAATCTTGTTATAAACAGATTTGATATGCTTATAAGTAAAATTTTATAATTATAAAATATTCACCCCAACATATTCAAATGGAATGTAATTAAGAACCACATTGTCTTTAATTTTAACGAATGATATTTTTCACTTATATCACAAAGTGAATTCACAAAGGAATTCAATAGCCAGCAGCTTTTAAATATAGAAAAAGTACCATCTCTTCTCTTTTTCCTTTTTTAAAGTGCTATTTTTAACTGGGTAGATTTACTATCCAGCTTTTCATAACTTCACTGTACTTCTCTAATAGAGTCAAGGACATGGAAAATTGAATGGATTTAGTGTTTTAAACATTTGCAAAATATTGCTACAAAACAGAGACTATGAGTGTGTTTTAGTAGTAAAACAAAAAGTGTACCTTATGTGAGTCATAAAGTTGATTTAATAATTACTTGACAGAAGCATAGGCTAACATTTATGACAATTTTTGCTAATCATCTAAACCAGAGACAGTTTCTGTAGGGAATTCAACTCTAAGCACCATCAAATAGGGTCGTGGCAAATAGAATCAATAAGGTTATATAATCCCAGAATAAAAACCAGCAAATTTAGACTTTTATAATAGCAACAAGAAACAAGTTAGAAATAAGTTAGTGACAAGTTAGTGAAAATCACAACCAAAGGCAGTATTTTACTCAAAAGTACCATAGGTTATTAAAAGTGTTTTTTTTAATTAAAAAATTGTGTAGTTATTAATAATGTACCTTAATACTAAGTGTGGTGGTATCAGTGATAGTTAAGAGAAAATCATACTACAGATCGACTCAAAAGTGAATGCTGCCTGTTACTTCCGTGATTAACGCTGAAATTGCTTTTTAAAAAATAGTTGAATACTACTTACAATACAAATAGGATACCAACAGGATTCCCATTTTTATTCACATTACTTTCTAATTAGTATTTTTGCATTTCAACTCCGACCTGACCTTCAGTAGTTATCTTAAAAAGCAAATGCAATTAGTAAAATAACTACAGGGCAATATATAGTTTTGTTCCCACTTAATATTACCAGTATCATTACAAGTTGCATTTCTTGTTACTCTTGAAAGAGTAACCATTTTTAAAAGCAGATACATAACAACGCCAATATTCATTCCTTACTTTGCATGGCATCCAGTAATGGTTAAATCAAAGGAACCCTCAGTCATCAATTTTGTACCATCAATTTAGATACACTTCTAGTCCTTGGAAACAGGGACTCCAGGGTAGAGGGATGTCATGAAGAAAAGAGGCCTAGGTCAAGGTCTGATGAATCACTTGGAAATCCACCTCACCCGGAGTGCTAGGTGCAATTCCTCCCCACCCATTCCAACCCCCCAAGTAAGAATGCGGAATTTTGCCTAAGACTTTTCTGGTCCCACTTTCTTGCCTACACCCAGCATTCTATTTTGGAAGACAAATAAACCTTAGTACTTTCTAAAAGAAATTATTTTTTACCCAAATACATTGGACTTCGGTCTCAATTTGAATGAAGATGAGTGGCCTTTATGAGGTTGGTCCTCGTCTTCTTCCTCCTCTCCCTCCTCCAGTGGCTGCTCCCGGTCTCTGAAAGAGGGTGTGGTGTGGATGATCTGGGTTCGGAAGCGGATTTTGTTGAGTCTGGGTTTTATCCGCCCACTAGAGCTGCCTGAGGCTTTGCGACCTGGATCCTTTGCTTTCCCTCCAGCCCATCCCTCAGCCAAGTGGTGGTGGTGTTGATGATCTACTCCATCCTCCAGGACGTGAGAGAGTTTGCTGGTGATGAGGTTAGAGGGGAGCACCTTTGACAGTCTCCAGCGCCCACCTCCGCTGCCGGTGGCGCTCTCTCCGTCGTCCTCGTCCAGGGCTCCCACCAGGTTCTTGATCTCCTCGGCGATGCTCGGACTCAGGTACTGCGAGGCCTTTTTCCCACTGTAGTCTCTGATATCCACGTCTGCGTCGTAGGCCCCCACCAGCAACTTCACTACCTCCACGTGCCCGTGCATGGCTGCCAAGTGCAGAGCAGTGTAGCCTCCACTGGTCCTGGCATTGATGTTCACAGGCAGATGGTGTTTGTTGGCAAAGTTGACCAGCATGGCCAGGAGCTCCTGCTTGCCGTGCTTGGCAGCCCAATGCAGGCAAGTGAAGCCAGTGATGAAGTCCCGTTTGGTCAGTAGGCCAGGCTCGCAGGTGAGCAACGCGTCTAGGCTGTCCCACTTGCCGTCTGAGGCTGAAATCATCCAGGCGTGCTCCAGAGGATCTAGGGTCACCGAGCCCCCGCTGCTGCTCTCCTCCTCTGCCGAAGACGAAGCAATGGAAGCACTGTCCGAGTCACCCCCGCTTTTGCCGCGTCCTCCCCCAGAGAAGCCCCCGGGGCTGCTGCCCCCAGGAAAGACGCTTCTCTTCAGCTGCGGGGAGCTGCCCATCACAAGGTCCAGGAGGTTTTGGCGAGTAGACCTCGGGGTGGTGGCCCCCGAGAAGGAGCTTCCCTCTTCCGCCTCCTCGCAGCCGTGGGGCGGGGGCTCCAGGTCCTCGCTGGGCGTTGGGGACGATCCCCGGGCTGGAGACTGCGCATCGCGCCGCGAATTCTTCCAGGCCCCGCCACTCAAGGACGGTCCGCTCCGGCTGTCGCCGGCTAGGCTTGGCGGCCCGAGAGTGGTGGCGGAGGGCTTCCCATCGTCCAGCTCGCAGCCCGGACTCGGGGGCGCCACGGAGGACGCCGCGTCGGAGGACAGGCCGCTCTCCCAGCAGCACTTGGCCCGGCCGTCAGGCACCTCCAGGTCGCCGCCGCGGGGCTCGGGCTCTGCGGTCACCGAGATGCGGGGCAGGTCCCGGGGGGGCGCGGTCTCGGGCGACGGTGGGCCCTCGCAGAACCTCCTCTTGAGGTGCACATACTGGGAACCGTCGGCGGGATCGGTGCGCACCGTGGCCACGGCGTTGACCAACTCCTTGAAGCGGGCGCGGGCGCGGCTGCGCTGCTCCGGCTCGCCGCCCAGGGCACCCCTAAAGTGCTGCACTAGCTCGGCGCGCCGGACCCGGCCCCCGCGCTCCGTGAGGAAGCGCAGCACCGCCTCGGGGCCGAGCTCCGCCGGCTCCTCCATCCGTGGAAGCGCTGCTCGTTTGGCGGTGGGCGGCTCAACCCGGCCCCATCACGGCCCGACCTAAGATGTGCGCTTCGACGAACTTGGAGTCCGGAGGGTTCCTCAGGCTCCAAGCCTCGCGACTGCGGCCAGAGGAGCCGCCACCGCCTTACTGGTGCCTCGCCCAGCGCAAACACGCCCCCGGCAGCCCCGCCCCCGTCCCGCCCACTTCCGGTCCCCGCGCTGGCCGCAATCTCGGCTCCTGCCGACCGCTAGTGAACACGGCTCGCTCCGCCCCGTGCCCCGCCCACTTCCGGCCCTCCCGCAGTCGGCAGTCGCGGTTCCCGCCAGATGTCTCTGGCTAGCTGAAGAGTCCTGGCTTTATTTCCTGGCATCTTCTCCCTCATGTCCCCAGTCTCCTCCAGTCTCACTTCCCCCTTCATTGCCTAGTCTTATAAAACATCGAGGGGCACTCCTGCGAGAGGTTCGCACCCCGCCGCGCGTCACTGAGCCCACTAGGCTCGGCCCCTCCCCTTTCCCCGACCTCCGGCGGAGGCCGGCCCCTCCCGTTGCACCGCCTTCGGCCCGCGCCCCGCACGTTAAGCCCTCCCGGTCCCCCTTGGCTCCATCCGCCGCTGGGACGCGCCGCTCGGGGGCTGGGGCTGAGACCGCCGCTTCGCTCACCTCCGTTCGGGACCATGACCTCTGAGGTGGCGCGGCACTTGGTGAGTCCGGCCGACCCCTCACGCCTCCTCCACTGCCTTTCCACCGGGGCCTGGCTCCCAGGACCCCCGCCCCGCCTTCCTCGGGGTCCCAACGTAACTTCCTCAGTCTGGAGCTCAGGGCGGCAGCCGAGTCCCGGCCGCGTCCGGTCCAGGGGTTGATGGTGACCTGCGCCCCTCCGCGACCCCCGGTCCTCTCGGGCTCCCGCTACCTGCCATCCCGACTGGGCAGGGAAGAGGGATCCTCTGTCTCCAGCTGTAGCCCGGGGAGGCATGTGGCGGATCTGCTTCCAACCGGGGGCGCAGGGCGCGCCCCTCCCAGCTCGCTGAGCGCGCCATGCGGGAGTGGCTGGAAGTTTTTGCCTGGCTTACCAGTCTTTGTCAAAAGTTAAATCTGAAACAGTGATTGTAGGTGCATCATTTTTATAACGGTTTTGAGCGTATAGGACAGATTAATATAATAGCAGTGATCTCTTACAGTTGTATACTGACTTTTTGAATATTAATTTTTATTTTTTAATTACCGTTGACATTCAATATTATATATTAGTTACAGGTGCCTAGCGTAGTGGTTAGATATTTAATATACAAAGTGATTCTCCTGATAAGTCTAGTGCACACCTGGAGTTATTACAATATTGTTGACTGTATTTCCTATATTGTACTTTATATCCTCATAACTATTTTGTAACTACCAATTTGTACTATTTAAACCCTTCACCTTTTTCACCCAAACTCCCCCAAAACCCCCTTCTACCTGGCAACCATCAATTTGTTTTCTGTATCTGAAGCTGTTTTTTTGTTCATTTATTTTGTTCTTTAGATTCCACATGTAGGTGAAATCAAATGGTATATGTCTTTCTCTGCCTGATTTATTTTATCCTAGCATAATATCCTCTAGGTCCATCCTTGTCTCAAATGGTAAAATTTTCATTCTTTTTTCATTCTTTATCCAATTCTCTATTGATGGGCGCTTGGATTACTTCCGTATCTTGGCTATCGTGAATAATGCTGCAGTGAACGTGGGGCGCATGTATCTTTTCGAATTAGTGTTTTGGATTTTTTCAGATAAATACCTAGAAGTGAAATTGCTGGGTCATAATATGGTTCTATTTTTAAGTTTTTGAAGAACTTCCATGCAGTTTTTAATAGTGGCTGCACCAGTTCATAGTCACCAACAGAGCACAAGAGTTTCTTTTTCCCCACATCCTCACCAGCACTTGTTTTCTGATTTATTGATGATAGCCATTCTGACAGGTGCGAAGTGATATCTCATTATGGTTTTAATTGGATTTTCCTGATGATAGTGACTGAGCATCTCTTCCTATTGTCTATTGGCCATCTGTATATACTCTCGGGTGAAATGTCTATTCAGGTTCTCTGCCCATTTTTTAATGGGATTTTTTTTGTTGTTATTAAGTTTTATGAGTTCTTTATAAATTTTGCATAATAACTCCTTATTGAATGTATTATTAGCAAATAATCTTCTTCTGATCGGTAGGTTGTCTTTTCGTTTGATTAATGATTTCCTTTGCTGTGCAAAAACTTTTTAGTTTGACGTAGTCCCGTTTGTTTATTTCGTTTGTTTGTTTCCTTTGCCTGAGGTGACATATCAGAGAAAACATTACTAAGAGCAGTGTCAGAGAGTTTACTGTCTATGTTTTCTTCTAAGAGTTTTATGGCTTCAAGTCTTACATTTGAATCTTTAGTCCATTTTGAGTTCATCTAGTTTCATTTTTTGCATGTATCTGTCCAGTTTTCCCAACACCGTTTATTAAAGAGACTGTCTTTACCCCGTTGTATATTCTTGCCTCCCTTGTCATGGATTAATGGCCATAGAGACATAGGGTTTATTTCCTGGGTGCTCTCTTCTCTTCCATTGATCTATGTGTCTGTTTTCATCCCAGTACTATATTGTTTTTTATTACTATAACCTTATAGTATAGTTTGCTATCAGGTAGCATGGTACCTCGAACTATATTCTTCTTTCTAATGATTGCTGGAATCTTTTGTGTTTCTATATAAATTTCAGATTTATTTGTTCTAGTTCTGAAAAATGCCATTGGTATATTGATGGAGATTGTATTAAATCTGTAGATTACTTTGGGTAATATGGATGTTTTAATGATGTTAATTCTTCCTATCCATGAGCACCATATATGTTTCCATTTGTACCTTCTTCAGTTTCTTTCTTCAGTGTCATATAATTTTACTTCCTTAGTTAAATTAATTCTTAGGTTTTTTTTTTTTGACGCAATTGTAAATGGAATTGTTTCCTTAATTTCTCTTTCTAATAATTTGTTATTGGTGTATTGAAATGCAGCCAGTTTCTGAATATTAATTTTGTATCCTGCTAGTTTACTGAATTTGTCAGTTCTAATAGTTTTTTTTTGGTGGCATCTTTAGGGTTCTTTATATATAGTATCATATCATCAGCAAATAATGAGTTTTCTTACTTTCCAATTTGGATGCCTTTTATTTTCCTTCTCTGATTACTGTGACTAGGACTTCCCATTTCCCTGACTGTTTACTCATTGGAGTCCCAGTTTGCTCCTTCTTTTTTTTACCCAACTGTGTGGTTGCCCAAGTTGTCCTTCATTAGGATTTGATCTCCCCAACCCTCTTTTTATTTTTCAGCCTTGGCACCCTCATACCTTCAAAGAATACATGTGACTGATTTGCCTGGTATTTTGTACCTTTCAAATCATTTTTATGTATTTATCTCATTTGCTGATATCCAGTGGATCTCAAAGTGTGGTCACAATTATTTTCCTAACAATACCAAGCTGTTATTTGCCTTTTCATACACATTCTCTTATGAGTGTACATTGAATTTTCCAGAAGCTACATGTTGTGGAGTGACCACACCCTTCTGAGGGCTAATGGAATGTGTCCTTGTATATACTTGTCTTTTTAAATTTTTATATTTTAATTTCTAATACTATAAATAGTAATTGTAATTCATGCAAACAAAAGCTCTTTGGGAGCCTGAGACAAAACGTTTGAGAATTACTTACTAGTCTAAACAATATCCTGAATTAGAAATCGAGGTTGTAGGAACAGAGTTCAGATTGTAGTCTGAGAGATTAGGTGATGTGTCCAAAGAAATACAGCCAGTTTCTTTGATAGGGCCTGGACAAGGATTTTTCTCCCTTATTCAGCCCAGGTCTCTTTCCACCCTATGGTGTATTTAGAGATCTCTCAATTTTTCTGTCCGGATTGCCTCGTTATATGTTGTGTGCATGTGTGAGTGAGGAAAATGTATTTTATAAACTTTGGTTCATAGTAATCTTCAGAATTACATGGTCTGAAGAGAAGACTATTTATTTAGTGTTGGATATCTTGTCAATTGCTGTAGTTATTTTGCAATACAGTAATAAGGCCACCTTTATTTTCTAATTAAACATTTTATTTTTAAGATAACTGTAGATTCACATGCAATAGAGATCCCTGTATCCTTTATCTAGCTTTCTTCAATAATAACATTTACAGAATCATAGTACAAGACCAGAGCTAGGACATTGACATTGATATTATGAAGATAGAGAAGTTTCCATCACCATATGAATCCCTCAGGTTGCTCTTTTATAGCCATAGCCACTTCATTTTCAACACACCTACTCCTTAACCTCCAACAACCACTAATCTGTTTTTCATTTTTATAATTTTGTCAATTCATCATTTACATAACTGAATCACAATACTTAACCTTTTGGGGTTGGATTTTTTTCGCTCAGCAAAATTCTGTGGAGATTCGTCCAGGTTGTTGGATGTATCATTAGTTTGTTCCTTTTAATTGCTGAGTAGTATTTCATGGTATGGCTGTACCACACTTTGTTTGAAGGACATCTGGGTTTTTTCCATTGTTGGGCTATTATGAATAAAGGTACTATAAACATCATGTACAGTACCATGTAATGTAACAACGAAAACATAAGTCTTCAGTTCTCTAGGATAAATTCCCAGGAGTACAGTTGCTAGGTCATGTGTCGGTTGCCTTTAGTTTTATAAGAAATTGTTAAACTGTTTCCCAGAGATTCTGCACATTTTCCATTCCTACCAACAATGTATGAGGGATCAGGCTCTCTACATCCAAACTAGCATTTGGTTTCTATTTTTAATTTAGACATTCTAATAGGTATGTAGTGAGACATTTGTTTTTAACTTGTGTTTCCTTAATAGCTAATGATGTTTAACATCTTTTCATGTACTTATTTGCCATCTGCATATTCTCTTCAGTGAAATGTTTCATTTCTCTTGTGTTTTCTAATTGGAATTTTTAATTGTTTTAGAATTTTTCAAATATATTTTAGATACTAACCCTTCCTTGATGTGTGATTTGCAAATGTTTTTTCTCTCAGTCTGTAGTTTTTTCTTAGTGTCTTTTGCAGAGAAAAAGTTTTTAATTTTGATAAATTCTATTTTTTTTTCAATTTTTCCTCCTAAGTTAAATTGAAGAATTATTTGCCTAACCCTAGCTCTCAAAGGTTTTCTCTTATTTTTTTTTCTTCTAAAAGTTTTCTAGTTTATATTTTACATTTAAGCCCGTGACCCATTTTGAGTTAATTTTTATATAAGGTGTGAGACATAGTTCGAGGGTCATTTTTTTGGACTATAGATGCTCCAGCACCATTTGTTGAAATGGCTGCCTGTCCTCTTTTGAATTGATTTTGCACTTTTGTCAAAAATCATTTGAGCATATTTGTGTGGATCTGTTTTTGAGTTTTCCGCTAGCATACAGTCTTGATTCCCATAGCTGTATAGTCTTGAAATAGAATAGATTGATTCCTCTCATCTTATGATTCCCCCCTCCCCCCAAAAAGGCTGTTCTAGTTCCTTTGCCTTTCCTTATAAATTTAGAATAGTCTTATCTATATATTAAAAAATTTTGCTGGGATTTTGATAAGAATTACATTAAATCTGTACATCAGTTTAGGGAGAATTAATATCTCTATTATAGTGAGTCTTCCAACTTATAGACACGGTATTTCTCCCCACTTCTT